AAATTTTGGGTGCTTACCGCTATTAAAATTTTGACTCTTTTAAAAAAGAGAAATTCGAATGATCTAAACGATGTTTCAGGTGCGAATACTTATTTCTCAAATAATCATACCTCGTTACCATAGTCACCGCGACCCCTCCAGACGAATGTCTGTCAGAGTACCTATCGTAGACAAACAGTATGTAGCAAGTAAATAGGTTGTATGTAACAAGTTTATAAGTAGCATAAGCAGTATTTGACAAGTATATAAATAATATGTAATAAGTTTATAAATGCTTCATGAGAAGTATAAGTTTTATTTAACTATATGCTAGCTTCATATAATTTATATGTAGCTAACCTATATGCAGTAACTTGCAAGTTTGCAAATTAATCATTCTAGATCAATGAACTAAAATACATAAATCATTTATTCTTCCATGCATTCATTCTATAGCAGTATAATGTGTGAAAAATAAAACGTATTTGCAGAGCATACTGTACAGAAATAGGGCGTATTTTAATCTTTTTTCTTAAATTCGGTACAAAATGAATAAATTACCTTTAATTATTAATGATTTTCACAAAGGTGACAAAAGTCATGGGATACGTCTTAATATCGTGTTTAGCTTCTTACAGCTCTACGAAGTGCAGGAACCCGTCGTAGCATAGACTCAACAAGTAGTTGGAAATCTCTTGCAGGAATATTCAGCCATACAGCCTCGGTGTGCATAATTGTGAAAATATTACTGATTTACTGGTGCAGGATTTTGTGCACGACCTGAGCTCTCGATTATATCCCATAAATGTTCGATGAGATTCATGTCGATCTATCTAGGTAGAAAAATCGTTGGTTTTATTTGTACAGAATATTCCTCAAACCAGTCGCGAGCAGTTAAGGTGCGGTGACAAGGCACATTGTCATCTTTAAAAATTCCATCATTTTTTAAATACTTGAAGTCCGTGAACGGCTGCAAGTGGTCTCCAGATTGCTGAACCTGACCATTTTCAGTCAATGAATGGTGCAATCGGACCATAGGACCCAGTTCATGCCATGAAAAAATAGCCCACACTATTATGGAGCCATCACCAGATTGCACATTGCCTTGTTGACAGTTTGGGTCCATGGCTTCGTGAGGTCTGCGCCAAACTCGAACTCTCCCATCAGCTCTGACCAGATAAAAGAGCAACTCATCTAAGCAAGCAACAGTATTCCAGTCATCTAGGATCCAAGCAAATTGGTCACGAGCCCAGGTGAGGCGCTGGACATAATGTCATGCATTAGCAAAGGCACTCGATTCGGTCATCTGCTGCCATATCCCGTTACAGCCTAATTTCGGGGCACTGTTCTAACTGTCACGACCATTTCACGTCCCGCATTGATGCGGTTCATTTAAGTGCTGGCGGTGCATTTTAGGCAATGTTACTTGTCTGTTAAGACTGATAATTCTTCGCACACGTTTGCGGTCTCAGATATTAAGTGCTGGCGGTCGGCTTCTACGTTGTCCATGCCTGAAATTAGGCATTCTCGATACCCTCTTCACACTGTGGATCTAGAAATGCTGAATTCCTTACAATTTCAGAGTGCCCCGTGTGTATAACTCCTACTATTCCAAGTTCAAAGTCTATTAATTATCTTCTTGCTGCCATAATTACGTCTGAAACATTCTCCAAAATCAAAAATGGATTCTGCCAGTGCACTATTCAATTTTGATTTTCGTACGCTTTACTACTGCCATCTTCATATTTGCATATTGCTATTGCATGACTTTTGTCACCTCAGTGTATGCACCCTTGAACAATTTTTGCTTTTTAATTTTCAATTTTTACGTTAAAATAATAAAAGTATCTGAAATACTTATGATCTGCTAAAAACTTATGATAACTTTAAAAGTATTTGGTTGATGCTGTTTTTAAAGATTTTCTGAATCTCTGGAAATCATTTAACTCCAGAAAGCCCGGGTATTCCACCTTTCACAAAGCAACCCAACGATTAGAGTAACTGCTATTTTAAAGTCAAATTGTACTAAGTGCTTTTTTCGAAGTGAATGGAGTATCTTGTTTTCACTACTTGAAATTGAACTCCTTTAATAACATTCTAAGTCGTCGTCAGTGACTGAAGATCATGATTTCTGTCATGAATCCAATCAAATATCGGCATGCGTGAGATTGATGCTCTATGTAATTTTAAAAGATAAAAAAACGGGAGAAGTTTATTCGCTCAAGAAAATACTTTAATAATCAAGAAAATACTTACTTCAAGAAAAAACTTTAATACTTGAATTAGACAGAAGTAGACATGCATATTTCCTTTGGGGAAAATGAATATACAGGCTGTGTAGAGATAAACGCTTAAAATATTGTGGGTGGTTCTTATTATTACTGGTTTTTTTATTTTTTGCAATTAAGTTCATTTTATATTTCAAGATCAATGTTACAATTTTTTTCTATGTTTTTAGAATTCTTGTCACAAAGGAAGTAAAGTTTGCTCATGAAAGGTATCAAATGAAAAAGGTCAATCCCGAATAAAAAATATTCCGAAAAAAAACGAACTTTTTAAGGTCTAACAGTTTAAAAGATACGCCGTTTTGAAGAATAGTTTCATTCCTATACATTCATATAAACAAATTTTTCTTTTGTACTATAATTAGAATGCCGAGAATGCGAACATGAACGTTTATATGCAATAAATTTATTGTGAAATTTATCTATATCAACTGTTCGTTAAAATAAATAATTAGAATGAATAGTTGTTTTTATGGAAGGATTTCTGCCACACAATATGAAATTTCTAGTTTTGATTTTTTAAAGTACCGTTTTTATAGCACACTAAATTTTATTGAAAACTAAATTTTATTGAACACAATATTTCTAACAGTTGAAAAAATTTTGATTCATATTAGTTTTTTATCACAAAAGTCAATATAAATGTTGGAAAATGTTTGCATCATTTTTCATATATTATTCAACTTTCCACAAAAAAAGGGAAATTGCAACCATTTTCATCATTAACTCAATATAGTATTACTCAAATTTTTGACCGTTTTCGACTAAACTGAAGTGATTGTATATTATCCAAATTGAGGCTATATTTTTAGAGTCAAGAATCCAAGTACATTTCGAAAAAAGTATGCTAATTCAGTGAAAGTTCGTTACCGTGTCTGATTTCGTAACTTAAAATATCGTCTACTCTGATTAATTACCATAGTTACTTTCTCGGACCATTAAATTGAGTCTTAGTAAATGAAAATCCGGTTATTATATTCAGGTTATTCACAGTGATATCTTTTTTTTATTTTGCGCACTTTAGAGAGAGTCAAAAAACAGAGCTCAATTTTGATGTTTCGAGAGTCTAATCTCATGCAATATAAGTAACGAGATTTTAAGTAATGAAATCACGCGCAAGAACTTATTTTTTCTGAATAAACCCTCAAAATAAAAAGAATTGCTGCAATCTGAAATAAGATTGTCCCAATACCTAATGCCGAAGTTTAGACTCTTTTTGGACCCTTAATGTTAATTTCACTTTCCGTGTATTTAGCCCTGTCTCTGAAAATATTAAAGCAGATGGAAAAATTTTTGCACACTATTATAAAATTCATTAAGTCAAAGAATGTAAAAATTAATTTTTTTAATATTTTATTTTACTTAATAGAATAAGCATTCCCTCAGCAACCAGTTGTGGGCTAGAGGATTAAGGAGTTTAAGGCCCTAAAATTTTGTGACCAACGGCATGATTATGGCAATGGTAGAGTTTTGATTTAGTTTATTATCTAGCTAGATAAACCACCTTTTCCGAATACATACTGATAAAAACATATGAATATATACCTATAATTTATTTGTCCCAAAATATGACATTAACAACATTATATCCATATCATTTTTATTTTAAATATCAATTAAAAGTAATGAGCATTATTGACAAAGAAGTATTAGCAATCAAACCAAAAACGCATTTAGCACTGATAAGCATTGGTGGAGTAACATGGAGTATTATTATCAGAATAATTAGGTATCATTGGCGAGTGATTACTCTTCATGTTACTTTCAAACGATCTCGCGTGTGCTTTCACATTACGATTTCCACTTTCATGTTGATTCTTTTCTTACCTATACCAATTGAATAAATGTGTTTTTTTTTTTAAATGCATGACTAGGAATATAAAAAATAATGAGGTATATTTTGTTTCATAAATTCTGATTTATAGAATTAAATTCAAAAATACGTAGGTTAATTTTTGATAAATGTAATTTTCTTTTCTTCTGCTTTGATGCCGTTTATCATTATTCACTTAAGCAATTTTCGTTAAAATTTGAGGGAGTTAAAAATATGAGTTGAAAATACCAGTCTGATTGGAATTTTCATATATTTTGGGGATGTCGGGCAATATAAACCTGAAGTGATTGTAAATCAATTTGGTTTTTATAGTCAAAAAAAAAATTTCCTGATTATTAATGAGGAAATCGATAAACTAAGTCAGCTTTGATTGAATAAAAAAATTACGTACCAACAACGTTTTTACTATTATTATTATTATTATTATTTACAAAATAATAAATTTCTGTATTTCCTTTGTATTCTGAAGCACATTTTTTTTAATTTCTTTATATTTTACTCCTGCTTATAAGATAAATTAGAAATTGAATGATAGCTTTGTAATTGAAAATATGAACTTTGAATTGGAAACGTTAGGTTTAGCATAACAAGAAATAAATTTGGAATTAAACTGGCAAATAAAAATTTACATTCATAATGGAAAAGAAAAATTGATTGAACTTTAAAAATGTGTCCGCAAATTTGAATTACAATATAGTGAAACGCAGTTAATTCAGAAATGATTTACTAATCTATGCTTATTACGAAATAAGTTTAACCAAATTAAAAACTTAAAAGCTTTATAATATTTTACATAATTAAGAGTTTTTGTTAAACATTATTATTTCAGAATATTGATCTAGTTATAGAAAAAAAGGGCTAAAAATTGTTGCAATGTGTTTGTAAAGTTTATCTCCTTTTAGGACCGTTATGCACATAAAAATGGAATACCTGTTTTAGATGATCAGCAAGATTGGCATTTGTTAAGCGGCTATGAAAATATAACTCATACTATTCTTCAATTCAGTAGAAAGTTCGACACCTGTGATCAACAAGATATACCGATTACGGTAAGAAATTCTCTTTTTTCAATATTTTTTCTTACTTTTTAAATTTATATTAGAGCAAGGTAATAATGTAATAAGATAATAATGTAATTCATGAGTAATATTAAAAATAAAATTTTGTTATTTCTTACGAGTAAACGATTTACCTGTATGATTTATATATATATATATATATATAATTTATAAATGAAACAAAAATGGTACTTTCAGTTAACTAATTCCGTGAAAAAACAAAGAAATATTNTATATATATATATAGAAAAACGACTAATTTGAGTAACGAGTAACAAACTGGTTTCATCTTTTTTTTATTTTGCATCTTATCTCAAATTATTTAAGAAAGGGTTTTCTCAATTAGATCATTGGGGGTTGACCATTAGGGCCGGATTCTTGCAAGATTTTCTTTTACGTAATCTGAAATTTAATCATCTCTATTCATTTTGACAGATGGCGCCACAAGACTCAAGGGAATTTTTGAGATTTTCTTAATGATCATATAGACATCGAATATTTTAGATCTTACAGATGCATAGATCTTAACATACAGACTCCGGTAAATTTTTATTTCCAAGAATTATTACCTATTAACATCAGATTAGAATTTTGAATTTTTATGGTTCTTTATGAAAGATCCATTAAAAGAACGATTTCCTACGTTTAAAAGTAATATGAACTTTATTGCATCCTCAAAACTGCCACTCAACAAATTAAGTAAATTTAATTTTTATTCATATTTGCCTATTCTTTCATTGATTCCAGTGATCAATTTAAACTATATTTATCCAAACGTCAGTGTGTATAGTAAATAAAAGACACTCTTATAAATGCATTCTTTTCTGCAACACTATTTCTAATTGCGTACAGTTTTCCAGAATGATACAGCTCGGGTAATATACGCTTACCATGATGACGATCCTTCATCTGATGACCACTTCATGTACCATGGAAAACACAGAAGAGGATCTAAGAGTCTTATGCTTCTGCAGCCAGTTCTGCAAAAGACTTCGCTCCCGAATGAAGCAAAAATTTGGGATATTCGTGCCCCAAATGTAAGTAACTTTACACATTTAAACTTGTATTTTTTAGCAACTGCAATTAATGATGCAGCTTATTAGTAATGAATTAGACCTAAACCTGCGTATCTGAAAACTTAAACATTTTCGTTAGACTTTTAGTAAATTCAAAATGATGTGAAATAATTATCGTTACATATTTAAAAACTTTAAAAAAAAGAAATTTTTTTTTGCTATGTATGCATCATTGATAAAAATCAAAAATTATTGCTCATATACTTATTATTTATTTAAAAAAAAAATTAATTTGTTCTTTTTTTTGTAAAAAAGAAAAAAAATAGCCTTAAATATCGCTGATTCAGATTGAGTTACGGTAGCTTAGAAGATAGAATTCTCAAATTCTGCGTTCGGCTCGCTCTAACCACAGTGCTGATGTAATATATCTTTAGTGGTAGACGGATCAGAGGTTAGAGTCACGTTGCCGACGGGTTAACTGTGAGAGGTATTAGCAGGTTTCCTCTCCGTGTAACGCAATTGTCACTTAGTTCCATCAAAAAATCCTCCACGAAGGCTATTTCTTATCCTAATGATTGATCCAGGAGGTCTCAGGGAGGACATGAGTTGAACAATAAGCTATGGAGTTGTATGACAATCGTCGTGAACTCAAAACTGGGTCTGCAGTTCAACAGTGGTTATCAAGCAAAATAAAACAATTCAAATTTGACATGCACCAATTATAAAGACAGAGAAAAGAATTTTAAAACAGTGATTTTTCGAATCTTTATTTTAATTGAATTATATTTAATTCCTTATAAATTATTTAATTATTTTAGAATAACGTAAAAATTTATTTGACAATAACGATTTATATGTGTGCAGTGAGCAAAAAAACGGACCGCCCTGAATAACTTTTGATCTAATTATCTGATTTTCAGGGTCTAGGACTCAATCTTAATGGTTCGAAGGGTGACCTAAAAATGCTAATAAATAAGTGTAGACGATATTTTACGTTAAGAAATCAGACACAAAAACGTACTTCTCTGAATAAACATACCTTCTTTTTCGGCGGATTCGGACTTCTGACCCCCAAAATGTAAGGGGTAGCTGCAATCTGGGAAATATGATCCCAATAGTTTGGTCAGGAGAGCTTTCTTAAGTTTGAGACCTTAATGTTAATTTTATCTTTTGCGTATTTCACTACAACAGGAGAACTTTTTATGCGAATTGAAAACTTTTTGCACACAGTAATAAAATCCGTTTATCCAAAGGTAATTCCTTGCAAAAAATAACTTTTAGTAAATATTAATGATTTTTTAATATTTTATTTTATAATGGCAGAAAAAAATTTGATTTGAAGGATATACAATTTTTTGAATCATTTTAAAGAATATAATTTTACATGGCAAAATACAAAATTGGAACAAAATCGGTTGAATAGTGGAATTTTAAGTATCTGACTTTGTTGAAATAGTCAGTGAACTTTTATTCTGAAAACAACTCAGAATGCGTGTTTAACAAAATCAGCACATCCCAAAAATCATGTTTGAAGGAATAGCAAAGTAAAGCATTCATGCAGCAGCCCATTGCGGGCCAGGGGAATCATGGATATTTAGGTTCCCCAATTTTGTGACGAGTGTTATGATAGTGGCAATGTGGTGAACACTGCGCGCAAGCAGTCTTTATTTCACAGGCAAGCTGGTACCCATTGATCTAAAGATAGGTGGGGTTCAAGACACCACTGAGGATCGAACCCCAGTTCTACACAGTGACAGTTCAGTGCCATAACCACTGAACCATCACACATAACTCAAAAAGTATATCATAGCATCAGCATTCTCTAAAAACTCAAAAAAATGTTTTTTCAAATTGCACCTCTTAAATAAGAATGTCGACCTTCAAATTTTTCACGAATCAAATTAAAATGTTCTTTATTTCTTAGAACCTTTGCTTGTTTAAATAAAATAGTTTCATTCTATTGCAGATTACTATTATGGATGATACTGATACAACATACTGGTGTAAAATCGTCAAAGCACCTCCATTGAACAAAAAACATCACGTCATTCAAGTAAGTTAAGTTTATTTGTTGTTCTTTCCTGCTTAAAAAGTATAAAAAAAGCTCGAAAATTCAAATATATTTAATGTTTTTTTTTAAATAAACTGTTTTTAAATCAGGAACAGGAAGATACGAGCTTACTAACTGTTACACATGTAATAAAATTAAATTGAAAATCAGTGTGCGTAATTTGCAGAAAATACGGGGTTTGAATTCTCAGAAAACTCAGCTAAACGTTGAACCATAATATTGGTACCTTGGCCATAATACAGTTCGAATTGGCTAAATCCGTATTAAGCTGTTATAAATTAGCTTATCCATAGTTTATCCATTAGTTTATCAAGTTTATCCATAGTATCGAATAGTCAGATTCAAAGGGGGTTACGATATTATCGTTAAACACCTTCAAGATTTCTAACAGTATATAATTAGAAATTTATATACGTGCCCCTTCAGTATTTCAAACGAACAAAAAAATATATAAATCGTTACCATTTTAAATTTAGCTTACTTAAAAAAAAAATTTAAGAAAAATAAAAAATATATATAATTTAACTGATTTTTGAATAATTAAGAGAAAATGCTTTTTTTTTATATGTGTGAAATTTAAAGAATTTTAGAAGCAGTTTATTTTCATTTCATCCCTTCTCCCTGCGGCATTAAAAATTTAAATTTCTATATTTTTAATCCACAATCAAAAAAAATCCTCTGAAAAATATTCATTTTGGGTATTTATATTTAAGACGCACGTTCCTTAAATGTTAAAGTTGAAAGGGGAAAACACAAGCGTATCATTGGTTAAAAATTTCAAACCTAGGCGAAAGAGTCTTAATAACGAAGGTCAAAATGATTATCAGTTGGAAGAAACTATCGATTATCCAAATTTCTACCATTTAGCTTAATTAAGTATTATCTAAACAAATTCAAAATATTTTGCATGACTTTAATGTTAGCCTTAGGTAGAAGAATTCCTTCATTATCATGCTATGTTACTAGTCTAAATAGTTAATGATCCTTGACGCCAGGGTGTTTTGGATCTTTTTAGTTTGAATAACCATGGTGTGAATGACCGCTTAGCAAGGTAATTAAGAGATGGTCTGCTATTTATAATGATGTTTCTGGTATGTGAATATGTAATATATATTTCTTAAAAATTAATGGACCAACTGCTCATTTATTTACTTTCGGCTAAGAATGCGATAGCTTGCATTTTGAGCAACCCTTGTATAAAATGTTGCTGGAGTTTTATTCACAGTACTTTTTAATTATATTAGTTTAATTTTAATTAACAAATTTTTAGAAAAAATTGGGTTGTATGGTATAGGAGATCATTTTATAGCTTTAATTGAAAAAAAACTCTTTAACTATTTCTGTAGAGGGTTTTTTTTTTTAGATGAAAAAAATGAAAGAAAAAACTTTTTTTAAATTTTTCTTTTTCTTTTATGTATAACTTATTTATTCTTGAATTTTTTAAACTATTTATTTACTTAATAACTGAATTTCCATTTTATGAAGTAGCCACCTTTGAGTCATTCCTGAAACATTGTAATTTCTCTCAAAGTACACTTTATTATTATTAGTATGCTTTTTATAAATAAACTGAACTATATAACAACAAGAAATGCCAGTTGTATAGGGTAAGAAAACGACATTATGCCTATTAACTGGAGAAATGTTTTCAACCTTTTTGTTTTAAACCTTTTTTTTTTTCGATAAAAGAAGACAAAAATTTTTTAATTTTTTTCTTCAGTTTAGAGACGAATTCAGGTCGCTTTTGTCTATTTGAGCCCAAAATATATAGAATTATTTAGAACCCGATATATAAGTCGAATAACGGCCAAATTTTGAGTTCTCGCCACTCGTCCTTTGATGTCTAAACAAGGAAATTTAGAAAAGTCATTTGGGAAATTATAACTGTTAATTCATATCATGAACAACCGTTAAAATGAATAATGAAATAATAAGAAGTTAAAATATAAATATATCCCTCCTTTTTTTCCTTTGTTTTATTTCAAAACGGTTCCCTACTATTGATTTTACCACTAGAGCCTTGCACATAAGAATAAATTACATTTAACGAACATGATTGCCGTCAGAACGTATTTTTACATACAAGAATTAAGATTTACTAGAGGACTCCATGCCCTCTTGGCAAGTATTCCCGAGACATTAAATATTACATTTTGCTACCAAACTTTCTCATTCTATTATTAGAATCTCTCATTCTATTATTAGAATCTCTCATTCTAATATTAGTATCTCTCATTCTATTTTTAGAATTTCTCATTCTATTGTTAAAATCCCTCATTCAATTATCAGAATAACTCATTCTATTATTAGAATCACTCATTCTATTATTAAAATCTCTCATTCTTTTATTAGAATCTCTCATTCTAGTATTAGTATCTCTCATTCTGTCATTTGAACACCGAAAGTTTGCCCCCGCACTAACTCTACTTGCATTCCACTAACATTAAAAATCCGAAATGATAAAAAATAAAAATATTTAATTAAACGCTTAAGTTAAATAAATTTCATTTGACAATTAACCTAACGAAGCAAAAAAAACACCGAACAGATTGTAAATTTCTAAATTTTGATACATTTTTTTAAACCTAATAAATTTTGCATTTTTTATACTTAATAACTGAATCAAATGCTTGTTTAAAAGTAATAAAAAGTTCATTAATATTTTACCAGGAAACCGATCCCGTCCTGGACTCAAACACATTTTTAGTTAACGAGCCCGGGTCGGACTTTCGCGTCTGAGCCCATTTTATCTCTACTTTAATTTAAGCTGAAAAAAAAGAGCATAAATCATTTTATAGAAATTAGCTAAAAAAAATATCTCTTTAAACCTTTCTATTCTGAAGTTTTTTAAATGAAAAGAAGAAAAAAAACAATAAATAAATTAAATAAAATTATATATATATATATATATATGCTGTATAACACGATTCGAAAGTGGAAATTGTAATATGGAAGTAAAATGATATCATGATACCTTANCAAAAAAAGTACAAGCATGGAAAATATTCAAAACATAAGATTTAAATTGTTTTTATTTGAAAAATAAAAAAATACTTTCTAATTACACTGAAGAATAAATTTTTAGTTGCACTTATAAAAATACTTGCCTGTTTCGGGAATTTCAAATCTGAAATTAGTTTTCTGATTAGCTAGTAAATTTATATATTTTGATAAAATTTTTTTTGAACCTTATAAATTTTGCATTTTTTATACTTAATAACTGAATCAAATGCTTGTTTAAAAGTAATAAAAAGTTCATTAACATTTTACCAGGAAACCGATCCCGTCCTGGACTCAAGCACTTTTTCAGTTAACGAGCCCGGGTCGGACTTTCGCGTCTGAGCCCATTTTATCTTTTTTAATCTGTTTTTCTTAGCCTTACTTCTTTATCATATTTCAAAAAAAGTACGAGCATGGAAAATATTCAAAACATAAGATTTAAATTGTTTTTATTTGAAAAATAAAAAAATACTTTTTAATTACACTGAAGAATAAATTCTTAGTTGCACTCATAAAAATACTTGCCTATTTCGGGAATTTCAAATCTAAAATTAGTTTTGCTCCTAAAGCTACAGATTTCTTTTACGTTTTTAGTCTATTTTTTGTTGAAATGTAACTTTATGTATAACAGTTTAAGAACTTTGTGTATAACAGGAGGTCATCTAAATGTTAAGACAAATTTCTATGGGAGTTAGGGTACATGATCAGGATTAAAATTGCATAGGAACCCATGCCCAAAAATATCATTGTACGTGGTTTAGGGAGCTTCCCTATTATGACCAGCTCAGTAGCACACCAAGAAACAGTTCATAATAGGGACGCGCCCATAGCGGCGTATGGTGACTTTTCCGGGCCTGGGGCTCAATGCAGTTTTAGTTCTGGTAATGTGCTTCAACTCCCCTAGTAATTTTTAAAACTAATTAGTCATTTAAAACTAATTAATTTTAACTAATTTTTAAAGTAGTCGATTTAAATCTGCCATCTCCTTTTAAATATCAACTATAAGAATATATATTTCTTTTTAAATCTTCGATGGTTTTAATCACATTTTTATATTATTCCCTAAACATCATACAAAATAGACAAAAACGAAAGAAAATCTTAGAAATTCAAGAAAAAGCTTAAAAAAATATTATAATTTTTCAAGAGGAATACAAATTTAAGATACAAAGCAAATACTTATTTTGTATTATCATAGGGAAAAAAATACCCTGAGTAATTTTACCAACAAAAAACTTAAAAAAATGTTTAAAATATTCAGAGTTTTGTTTGATTTTCAAAAATTTAAGCCATATGTCCCTTTAAAATTTGAAATTCAAAATCCAATTTTTAATTTAAGTCATTCATAATGTAGTTCGCCCAAACATGTTTTTTCCAAGTTTAAGTTTATTTCGTAAAAAAAATGGATGGCAATATTTTTTGTGCTAAAATCTAATTCACAGAAACAAACTGCAAACTTCGATATTAAATTTTAAAATATTTTTTCAGAAGATATCACTTCTGTGTTGAGAGTAATTGTGCAGAAATATGTTTTAAACTGTGCAAATTATGAATCTAATTTTAACCATAAAATAAATCTTTTTTTTTGTTACAAATTATTATACAGAAAAAGATTGCTAGAAGTAGATAGGAATCCAGGGAAGTTTTATGTACTTTAAAATTTCCAATAACAACTTTAAAGTATAAAAGAAAATTTATCAATAGTATAACAATTTATTTTTCCTTTCTTGAAAGAAAAAAAAGTGCGTAAAAAAAAGTTTGAAAAATGATCCCAGAAAAATCATGGAATCTTACATATCGTAGTACGTGACTAAACTCTTCAATTCAAGAGATAACATCAAAATAATTGTTCCATTTTCGTAAAATTTAAATTCCTTTTTTTATTATTATTAGTGCGCTCACGATTAATCATCGACAATGAAAATCATGATCCCCGCGGATTGATGATAATTGCCTTAAGTTCACGAGAACAATTTTGCACA